AAAGTTTGGTCAGATACCTAACAATACCTAACTAAGCAAAGCTATTCAGAGGGCATTTAAGGATGAAAATGGAAGGATAATAAACAGGAGAAAAATGGAAAAGGTCTGCAAAATTTTTTTAATAGCAAACTTTTTGACACCAAGGATGAAAAGCCCCCATACTTCATGCTCTAACATCACAGGCTTTGATAAAAAGATATGGAAATAGCACTAAAGAAGAGAGAAGCTGGATTAGACTAAGTGTACTAGTCTAAGAAGAGGTCAGTGCTGGAGGTGCACAACTATAAGGATGCTAAGGTATCATTCACAAGGTATCTGAAGGAGGGAATAATACAAAGTTGTGGGGAAAAAATCTTAGATCTTACTACCAAAAAGTTGTAACTAAGAGAACATTAACAACTACCATTTTATGTTTACCATTTTACACATTTTATGTGATATTTTTCTGTGAATCATATCCACAAACATTGATTATATCCTTGAGGATATGCCAAAGGACATATTTTATCTTAATAGACAATAGGGAACCACTATAGTTTACTGATGGTGGTGGGTAGGTAGTAACATGAAAGTTTTGCAAATGTTATTCTATAGTAGACCACATTTTTACCAACATATAATTGATTGAAAAATGTTTATCTCACTGTGCTTATTTATTTGTTTTATTATATTATCTTTGATTTCTTCTGTGTAAGGGAACTAGCAGTGAGAAAACTCTTTTCACAGACTTTCATCGTTATTTGCTCTGCAATTTTGTCTAAAAGAATTGTCTGAGATGAAAAATTATGTGACTTGCCCTTGGTCATATAGTCAGAATATATCAGAGGCAGAAATTGAATCCACATATTCCTAATTCTGAGTTTGGCTCTCTAGTCACTAGCGCCACTATGCATTTGTGTTTATTGTCTGCTGAGGATAAAAAATGAGATTGGTTCAGTAGAGCATGCCATCTTAAAGGCTCTCTTCCAATGGAGGGTCTCCCATTAATACATTAAAATCATTAAAGATTCCTTGAAAGATCTAACCACAAAGATAACCTTGTTCGATCATAAATATCAAGTGAGGCATTAAACAGGGAAATGTATGCTGGCTTGCCAAAATATATTCATCATGGTGATGGGGAAAAGCCAGCAGAGTCCAAGCTGACAAGGTATCCCTGACATTTTTGTTTGTGGATGATATTGTACTGGTGATATCAAATACCAGAATTCTGTAGAGCCCCCTGGAAGAGATCTATAATCATTCAAAAGTGTTTGACTTGACCAACTACACAGAAAATGAAAGACAATTGGAAACCCTGAAGACTCCACTAGTATTCTCATGGTTTCACTCAAAGGCTGCATGCTCTAGCAGAAAGCTAGCCTCAAAAGCTGTGAAAGCCTGGGTTAAAGTCTTGCCTCTGACACATACTGGGTGTATGATCTTGGACAAGTCACTAAACTCAGTATTCTAGACCAGAGGTGTCAAACGAGTGGCCCACAGTAACTCTGGAGGGCAGTTCAAACCAGATTAAAATGTAATTGGAAAATACTTAACAAAATTAAAAATAGAATAAAACATAAATTACATTAATAAGTCAATATGCTGCCTGTAGGGATCTTCATGTAAGGTTTAGTGGCCCCATTTCTTTTTGAGTTTGATACCACTAGACAACTCTCTAAGATGATGGGTTTCAGAGAAGGTGCTGACCTGCATTAGTAGAAAGAATTTTCTCACCTGGGAGTTTTCTGTATCACTGAAATCAAGGTCCAGTCTCTGTCTATTCCCTATCATTTTCTTTACAGCGGTCTTAATTTTGAGAACAACATTTTTTTCCCAGCCAAAAACATCATTGTGTTTATAACAGAAATCAAAAGGAAGACTTCATTTGAGAAATTTATTTATAGTAAATTTCACTGGGATGCTCTGATTTCATTATTTAATGCCTGCATTTTAAAATTTTACTTAGTTACATTTAAAATATACATAATTGCTTTCCTATAAAGTTGGTTTTTCAATTGGATGTTTATTAAACACCTATTAAGGCACTAGCTAGGTTGAAACAAATATAAAAACGAAACAGTTATTGCTTTCAAAGAGCTTATATTCTACTGTTCAAAGGAGGCAGCAATAATTAACATATTCTTTTTAACTGGAGCTCAGACATCTATTCAGAATCATTTAAAAAGTATAAAATGGTAATTTAAGCGAAATCTAGCTGTATTTGGTCTTTTTTGTTAATAAATCACAGTTCTAGTCCTTATCTCCTATTTTATTTAATGAGTTAATACAGATCATATTTAAAATATCCATATATAAAAGAATCTCAAAGCCAGTTACAAAATATCTCATCTATTTTCACAACATGCCTTTAAATAATGATGGCATCATCCAGAGAGGTTAGGCAATTGAGTTAGATATTCATTCCACGGGGGTACAAAACAAACCTAAAAACGGACTTTAGTGAGTCTGTCTCGTGATCTACCCAAGAGACAACTCATGAAATTTGGTACTTTGGTGACAAAGTAAACAGATTGATTCCACAGAAGTGATATAGACTTCGAGGTTAAGGCACTGGCATCGATGTCCAAAAAGCTCCTGAGGAGACCAGAGAGTGAATGACAGTACAGGAGAAGGAGTGCTGGGCTGGGAATCAGAACTGGGTTCAGTTTGGATTCTACTTGTTTTGTGTGAACAAAGCAAGGCAGATCCTTTCTGGATCTAAGCTTCCTCATCTGGAAAATGAGGGCGTTGGACTAAGGACCCGAGGTCCCTTTCTAGGTCTAAATTTATGATCTCAAGTGTAACTTCAGTACCTTCCCAACCTCTGCACCTCTCGAAAAGATCCCATCAAAACAAAACCCACCGAAACAATAAAGCACAGCTTGAAACAATGTGATGTTCAGGGTTCCAGACTCGAGATTATCTCCCCTGCAACTATCAGGAAAGGGTGGCTTTTAAACAAAAAGCTGACAGACCTTTAAGTAGCTTAGAAACAATTAGAGGCTTTGCAAATTGAAAGAGTGCAGCACAGAAAGGCCTGCAGATGCACATGGATCTCTCCAGTGACGACTAAACTCAGTGCTACTGACCACTACAAAACTGTAACATCATCTTCAGACCGACCGGTGGACCAAACATCTGCAGCCCTGCTAAGTCTAGTGTTAATCTAAGGTGTGTACGTGGAGAATGGGAGCCGGGTTTAGTTTGAGCCAGGTTGCCCAGAAGCTCCTGCAGCAAACTGTCCACTCATCCATGGCATCACTTGCAACCCAGAGCCTTCTGCACCAGAATACCTTGATATACCCAAGACTCCACGCCTAGCTCCTTAAAGACCCGAAGGCAAGGCGGGGACAGCTCCTCCCACAGGCCCCAGGAGGGCTGACCGACCCCAAGGGCAGAGTGGGGCGGTGGCAGAGGCAGCTGGGCGGTGACGCACGAGGTGGACTCGGGTTCCTCCCCTCGGGCCCCCCTCCCTCCCGCGGCACAGACCAGAAACACGAATTGGGGGCGGAGGTTGAGAGGTATGGGGAGGGTTGAAGAAAGAGTTGGTGTGTCTGACTAATCAAAGGACTTTTTTTTTTTTTTGTGGCTGGACACAGGTACGAGATGTCACTGGCCACGGTGTTGGTGCCAGACCTTTGTTTTTCCGCAGTTACCAATGAGGAGCAAGTCCTCTCCTCCTCTCCCCTCCCATTTCTACTGAGTGGTGCGCTCGGCCCCGACCCCCAGCTCAGGATCCGACGCAAATGCACTGCAGAGAGTCGCGGAGGGGAGGGGGCACGTGGGAAGTCCCACTGGGAGCCGCGAGCGTCCGCTAGTCTTCCCCCTTTCCTCGTCCCCCTCCCCCGCCCCCGCCCCAGCCCGCTTGCCTCCCTCCTGCAGAGGCGTGGCTCAGGCACCGCCCAGTCACCTCGCACCCCGCCCTCTTTCCCTCCTGCGAGCAGGAGCTCCACTTCCCGCAGCCCCCGTCTCTCTGTCGTTTTCACGTCTCTCCCCCTACTTGCCAGCGCGCTGTGCGGGGGCGGCGCCGGGCCTTGCTGACTTACCCCGGGGCTGGGAAGTGGGGATGCTCCTGCTGCTGCTGCTGTCGCCCCTGGGGCCCGGACAGCACCTGGAAGAGGAGGAGGCGGCAGCGGCAGCTGCAGGACCACGAGCTCGTGCGCCAGTCCCGGGAGGGATTCTCCCCGCAGCCCCGCTGCTTTCCGGGCTTTTCCCGCTGTCACTCGGCTCTTGCTGCCGCCGCTGAGCGCCGGGGCCTCGCCAGGCATGAGGAGACGCAGCACGGGCCAGCCGAGACCTCCCGGGCCCCTAGGGACGCCCCCGGCCACGGAGCATCTCGCACGCCGGAGGCTACCAGGGCGCCTGCTTTAGTCTCGGTGATAAGAGAAAAACCAGCAGAAGAAGGAGATATTGCGGCGGCTGCAGAGGCTGCTGCTGAGGGAAGCCGGGATAACGCGGGGTGAGGGTGACTGTCCGATCTGGAGAGTCTCGTTCTCGGGAACTGGACGCCTTGTCCCCGATCCCGAGATGAGGGTGCGAGGCTGGAGCGTCTGAAGCGGTGGCGCCTTTGCCACCGCCGCTACGCAGGGTCGTGCTGCAATTTGGTGTTCCTTCTCCGCAGGCAGAGCTAAGCTGGGGCTCACAGCCTGCGCTTTACCCCGCACCGGCCTCCCGCTGCTGCCTTTTCCCACCTGCACTCCCGCCCCATACTCTGATTGATAGAAACACCCTCTACCCCCCAGTTACCCTCCTTTCCCCATCCACTCTAGCTTTCATCCCGTCCCCTTACTACCCCTTCCCCCCCGCCAAGTTCATTCATTCATTCATTCTATATCTACCCCTCACCCCAACCTCCGCGCTTCTTTTTCTCAAATCTCTGCTTCCACCCTCTCCCGACTTTGGCTTCCTCTCTGCAATTTGCGGGGTGGTTTAAACAGTTCATGGGAGTGTAAGGCCTGGACAGTGCCCTAGTGCTCGGGATCGTTGAACATCGAGCTCGGCTAGTTAAGAGGAGGAAGATGTCTCTGCTTAAGTGGTTGCTGCGGGTCTCCAATCGCTCTTTGCTCGCCTTCATCTTCTTCTTCTCCCTCTCGTCGTCTTGTTTGTACTTCATCTATGTGGCCCCAGGGATCGGTAAGCACTAAGGCATTCCTTTCCTTAGACCGGGAGTCATAAATCTCCACACACTCGCACCTAGCAAAATCCAGGAAATTACTTTCTTTAGAGAAGATAATTTAGTTATTACTAAGCTAAGGGGTCTTTAGGAAGTAGTTTACTTGAAACTTTATACCACTGGATATAGCATATTTCACATTTCTGTTGATTTGAAACTGACTAAAACAATTTCAAGTAAGTAAATTGAGGGTCATCAAATAGGCACAACTTCACGGTGAATGCCCCGGTTCATTTTTTATGTATTTATGACAGTGTTAACACTGTACTGACTAGGTTTACCCCATCACCTCAGCTCCGTGCATAATCCTAGTAATGTTAAAAGATCTCTAATTCATTAGCTGTGGAGTAAGATAGATTGAAAAGAGGAACCAACCACAAGGAATTGTTTTTTTTAGGTAGCTGAGAGTTTTGGAATATATTTACTGAATTTCCAAAATGAAATCAAATGACAGTATTCCTCTATTTTACGGACTTCAAGGGGAGTACCATAGTCTGTCTTGTCCAGTTAGCACAGCTTCTCCTTGTGGAGATATTAAATATGTTTGCATTTCAAGTGATTGATCCCCCCCCCCACCTGTTTGGGTGTTTTCAGAAATAGAACAATGTTAAATATTAGAGTGAAGGTTATATTCTTAAACCACAGATATATTAAAATTCATGACACAGACCAGATCTGACTCATGCTTCTTTGCCATTGAATCTAATATACAGAACTAATGGTCTACTCAGTGTTTTAAATGATCGTTTCCCTAGGGTTTTTTCCTCCACTAGCTTGGCTGGTTGACAGTCAACCATATTGTTTAAGGGCTGTTTCATTCTGGCATTATGGCTAGGACCTGGGAGTGTTTAATGTTTGTGGGAATCCATACATAATGTATTTTAAGTAGTTTTGCTGTATTTCTCCAAATGCTGATTTTATTTCTCACTTAAATGTTTTCTGTTTTATTCATCATCTGTGTTAAAAACCATTGACTATGTAATCTGAACATATACATTTGGAAAACTCTCAAATTTATATATTGTTGAATCCTGAAAATTGTAGTTTCTAGTTGTATATATCTGAGGGCAATTAAAAAAACACATAACTTGCATTTATATAGTGATTTAAAAGTTTTCAAAGCACTTTACTTATATTATCTTATTTGATGCCTGCAACAAGCCTGACAGGTAAGTGCTATTATCTCTGTTTTTTCATATGAGGAAACTGAGACTGAGAGAGGTTCAATGACTTGTTCAGGGTCATACACCTACTAAATAGCTGAGGCAAAATTTGAACTCAGGTAAATCTGACTCCAGGTGTTGGTTGGTTTGAGTAATTGCCAAGGTGGGGTAGGGAAGAGTGGGGAAGCAGTGTCATGGAAAGCGGGCACAGATTATTTTATGTACTAGCATTCTTGAAAATGGAATTTTTCTTTGGTCATTTGATGTTCAGATTTTTTGGATAGAAATAATATTAAGATCTGATGTCTGAGAAACCTTAAATTTTGCTGAAATCTGGTGTATCTTAAAAAAGAATTTTGATATAGCATGAGTACAATAATTGTTTCCCCAAAATGAAGTAAAGCATTTTTTAAGTTCCTGTGCCCAAGTGCTTTACAAATATCTCATTTTATTCTCACAATATCTTTGGGATGTATTATTATGGAAACGGAGGTAGAGGTAGGTAAAATAACTTGCTCAGGGTCACACAGCTAGAAAGTGTCTGAAGTTAGATTTGAACTCAAGTCTTCCTGACTTTAGCTAGACCCAGTGCTCTATCCACTGCACCAGATTCCAGGCCCATTTGAGGTAATTTCCATCACAGGAAGAGTCTGTGGCACTGACTTCACCAGCAGTTAAGAAAGCTCAGTAGAATTATTTAGCCAATTTATAAGGCAAAAACCATAGTAAGATTTACTTTCTTAAAGTAATGTCATTTTTTGGGTTTTAAAAACCAATTTCTCATGATCTGTGCTTTGTGATCTGATTCCTTAAAGACTGTGTCCTCTAGTGTACTCTTTCTTGAGGATAACTAATTCTTTGAAACCTCAGAGAAAAATTACTTGACTTATAAATTACAGTATTATTCATTTAATGGCAATTTGCAGGAATCAGCTTTATTGGAAGTAATTTAAGTTCTTCACAAGTCATACAAAAATTAGTGGATTGAACCTAATACTTTATTCTGAGGACCATTTATATGCACCTATCTTTTCCTTTGATTAGAAGTTTTGAAGGGCTTTCCAAATACGCTAAAATATTATATATATGATTTCAAAATTTAATTGGTCTGAAAACCAATGTTAGTGAAAGATTCAGGCATCCTTATCTGAGCATACATTACATGTGTGTAACTGTACAATAGAAGATCAATTTATTCACTTCTATAAAATCATTAGTAGCAGTAATTATAGCAGCCAGGTTGAAATGACTTAGGCTTACTATTGTTATTATTACTATTATTATATTTGTTCAAAGTCTGGAATTGGACTTCTTGTACAGTATGACCATTAGACTTCATTAGATACATAAAGCATTATCTGTTTTTCTATGGGTCATTAGCATCATTTAAAAGCAATCAAGAAAAGTAAAATGCTAACTTGTAAATTGATATCATTTTGTTCCTTTGAATCATTTGGCAAGATGCAGTACTGTAAAGTCAAAATAATCTCCCTGTTCATTAATGGCATTTAGCATCTCACACACACACACACACACACACACACACACATATATATCAGGTTTTGTTTAGACTATACTCATGTATTAGTGATCTGTCTTTGCAGTAGTAAAAGATCATTCTGATACTCTACTTATAGGATATGACCTGCATTGTTTGTAATAAATATTATAGTATAATTAATGGTGGCCTTCAACATTTCTGAAAAGCCCCAAAGGAACTTAATGTTTATTTGCTTCATTTGGTGTCCCAGCAGTGATGCTACAGATATGAGGACTGGACTGTGATTTCATTGCTCTTTTACCATGGCATGGCAGCACCTTTTCTGCAGCATTTGGTCAGAGGGTTACCTAGAGCACTGAGAGGTTCAATTCCTTGCCCTGAGGCATACAACTAGTATGTATCAGGTCTTCCTGACTTACTAGCCAGCTTCCTATTCACTATACAACATAATAATAGTAGCTAATAGCTAACAATTATGTAGTGCCTATTATGTGCCAGGCACTGTGCTAAGTTGATCCTCACAACAATCCTGGTAGGTAGTTGCTGTTATTATCCCCATTTTACACATGAGGAACTGAGGCAAGTGACTTGTCCAGGGTTACACAGGTACGTGTCTGAGGTCACATTTGCACTCGGGTTTTCCTGACTTCAGGCCCAATATTCTATCCATTGTGCCACCTAGCTGCCTCAAACTGAGACAGCCTCTCTTCTAATGACCCTGTAGGTGTTGTAAATGATGGATGTGTATTATTGTTACGAAGAGAGAGTGTCAAAATGTGCTTATGAATTAAACTACTTTAAAGAACTATTTTTTTTGCTTTCTCTGTAGAAGAGATAATGCTCAAACTGACATTGTTTTTTATGGGGACAAATTTTTCTTGAGCTTATACAGTAAATATTTATTGATGTTTATTGGTTTTTTATGAAAGTGTTTATCAAACACTTTCCATGTGCCAGGCTCTGTACTAAGTGTGGAGATAAAATAAGGAAAAGAAAATTCTCAAGGAGAAACTCAAGGAACTTGGAAATCTAATGGGAGAAGATAGTACACAAAAGGAACCTTAAAGGGGGTGGGGATACCAGAAGGTATGAGGCATGGGGGCATGATGAAGATGATGATGGAGTTGAAACCAAGCAGAACTGCTGGTGGAAGAATGGCTGACATTTTGGGCTTTCTATAAAGGGAGAGTATGGGGGGAGTTTTTTGTCCTGTCCTTCAATCAGAGAGGCAGAAGCAACTGAGATTATTCATTCTGGTAAGTGTGGAAAGAACTGAGGTTTGCAATCCTATTACTATTTTTAATATGTAGCCTAAAGAGGGGAGGAAAAGGACCTTAATGTGCTTTCACACTTACAGCTCAGCTGTGGAAGTAATTTGTAAAACATTTCCCCCGAATTATCAATTCAGACTAGCAAAAGAAATGTAGGCATTTTCTTGTTTATAAACTTAAATACTATAAGAAATTAGTTTGCAGGATAACATGAAGACACATACTACCATTAAGTGGTCCATAGTTCACATTTTAAAAACTAGACATTAATATAGTTCTGTTGAGAGCTGGTCGTGGCTATGGAAAATTTCCTATACTTATAACACTTACATGCAGTGCTGACGTAAATAGCAGCGGTCGCAACCTATACCTTCTTCAATCAGTGCTGGCACTGTTACAGATGCTTCCTCTCAGGTTCTGATCTTCTTGGAACTGAGACTCTAGCAGGAGTTTCAAGTGTGTGTGTGTGTGTGTGTGTGTGTGTGTGTGTGTGTGTGTGTGAGAGAGAAATAGGTAGATCACTTTGGCAGTCTGGTGAAGCCTATGGGCCCCTTCTCAAAATAACATTTGTTGCCCAAATTCATTATTGAGGGAAATTCTGAACTTCACTTAAAGGTTAGTGAAAACAAAGAGTAATTTTTTTCCCAATCCCAAATCACAGACTCCTTAAAATCTTCCCAGGGATCCCTAAGGAATTTGTGGACTCCAGGCTAAGAACCTTTGGACTAGTGGCATGATGAGTTTGGAGCAATGTCCAAATCATCCTGTATATATCATGTTCTACAAATGACTGCAATAATTTTCCTGTTGTGTGGACAAATAGGATGACATTACACAGAAACAAATAGACATAAACATTTACCTAATCAGAGATATTTTAGTGTTGTGAATATTATCCCAGACTAGGGAATCAATTATTTGATTTTGCTTCTATACTGGATACAGAAACTCCAATCAGTGGTCTACTGGCAAACCAAACTGGGCCCTCCTGGATCTGTAGTGTATGTAGTTTAGAGAACATAGTC